TTTTTTTTTTAGCTGAAAGTGGATCAGTGGGTGACACAACTGTCCCAATTCACACCACACACAATCTCTCACCCCATGTCCGGAGCAGATCACCCTTTCGTTGGTGCCGGGGCACGTGCTGAAGTTGAATTCCTGCACTGGGAGGCATTTGTGATTAAAGCAGATGCGATCCGTTCCACACGCTGTTCCATCCTCTACGTATCCCAAATCAGTGTCGACGTCAATCAGCACATGCCCTCCACTGAAACATTCAAACTCACTTTAGGAAAATCAGTCACATAGAAAGCTGAAGTGAGTGTGTGTTTGTGTGTGTACCTGCAGTCCAGTGAGGCGCTGTGCTGGGCCACAGAGAAAGATGTCAATCCTCCCTGTAACTCTCCTAGTCTGGGTGCAGGAGAAATGTTGGAGCACAGCAGGTATCCACAGTGTACATCCCTAAATACACACACATGCACACGTTTTAATCTAGACAGAGCACATAAAACTAAGGTAATTCCATAACAAACTAGAAAAAAATTGGAAAAGCATAATTTGCAAGCCTGGAAAAGTTCATAGAAATTCATATGAATTTCTATTATGTATTAATACACATACACATACACTTTTTGTTGTATAGAAAGCCTGTTATTTAGTTTCCCATCAGTGTGATATGACTGTCAAACTCACTGTTTTTTGCACTGAATCCAGGTGTCTCTATCTCGTCCACAGTTGCCCTTCTCTGTGCCCTCAATGTTGAGTTTCTCATAGCAAAACTTATCAGCCGATGTTGCTTCTTTAGAAACAGAAACGTCACACTAATCATAATTACCTCAGAACCACTAACTAAAATCAATGTTTAAGTACTAAAATTAATCAAATAAATTAAAGCCAAATAGAATAGAAGAATGAACACATTAAAATATTATTAAAAACAACTAATAAAAACTAACAAATTCAACTAAAAATGACAAAAGCACATAACAAAACTGCTAAAATTATCAAATTAAAATGAAATATAAAATTTAAAAAAGAAAAAAACAAAAATAATATTAAACAATGTAATGGCTTATAAATAATATTAAAACAACAGTCACTCACTCTCTCCCCAGAGGTATTTGCACTGTCTGTCCTTGGTTTTGCACCTGCCATTGAAACATCTTCCCTACAATGTGTTGAATGAGTTGAAATGAAGACAAATAGGTTACAGTGACATATCGAAATAATATGAAATAATAAATAATAAATTATGACTGTATTACTGTATTATATATATATATTTGATATATAAAAACTCACTTGGTCTTTCTCACATGTGTACCCATCCATCTTGTGCAGGTTTGGAGGACACTGTGAAGAATATATTTAGTCTTACACTTTAAAGCATGTTTAGAATGGCATACTATCTACTGTTTTTAAAACATGTAGTACATAGTATATATACCAGGTATAGTAGGATATGTGAATTTTATGTATGCATGGAATACCGGTATGACCTACTAGATTTGCAGAAATGTGCAATATACAGCAGAGCACACTAAATGAAATAGCGTATCCCATAATGCAAAGTGTTTGACATGAACCAGAAGCAATATCTTGATTACCAAATGACTGCCATGCCATTAAACAGATTAAAAAGATTAAGGTGCAAAAAATTATGATGATAAATGAATTGTTCAGTTTTTGTTTTTTTTCAGCTGTTTGGACTTCTGATGGCACCCATTCACTGCTGAGGATCCATTGGTGAGAAAGTAATGTGATGCTAAATTTCTCCAGATCTGTTCAGATGAAGAAACAAACT